TGATAACATTCAAAATGACTTTTTAAATCAAGAACAAAGGTTAAATCAAGGTGATTGGTCAAGAAATAGATTCGATACTAGAATAAACAGACAATTCAGAAATGAATGGAATTTGTGATCGGAATTTAGTTTGGGAAAATACGTTGTCAGCTATTGTGTTATAATTAGTCATGAAATCCACGTTATATAAGTGATAAATATGTCAATATTGTAATAATAGTATTTGTTTTATATTTTTGCAAATAAAATAATGTTTTTATCAAATATATATCGAAATTTTTTTTTATTGACAACCGAATATCAACCCTGCGAAATATTATCGATATTGAGAACTCTCAGGCTTTTAAACTTCTCTTGTAGAGAAGAGGCAAAATAAGGCCCTTTTATGGCTCTTTGGATTAAAAAAATAAAACAAATTACATCTCTCATATATTCCGATATTTTTTTCGGATATCAGTTTTTAGAGTTTTGATAATAACTGCGAGCATTCTTTAATGATGTATCGTTTATTATCACTTGTTGCGATTTCTTTTTATCTATCATTCATGTACGATCATTATAAGTAATGTTTTATTTTTGTTAGTTTATGATATTGAATATACAAATCAGGAAAGGTGGAATGATTGCCAATGAGACAACTTTTCCACAGAGTCTAAATATTCCTATTGGATCTTAAATTATGTTATAGTCCCACTATCAAGATTTAAACAGTAAATGTGTGAGTATATTAAACCACATCAGATTTGTATGTGTCTGTCCAAAGCCAGAACCTCGACAGTAGTTGTCATGTCATATATCTGAACGTCTAGCGATTTTGAACTATCTATGGACACTGGCGAAGTAGGTAGGGTGGATCTGTTATAGTCTCTGTAAAATTCTGTCAAAACTTGTTAGATTTCTAATGGTTTAGAGCTTGGAATATCGTATAGACACTGGTCTTTCGCTGAACACATTGTTCTGAATGTTTGTTTGTGTTGTCGGGTTGCTGTCTCGTTGGCAAATACTTACATATCTTTTTATTCGGAGTACCAATTTCAAGTCATTGCTATAAATTGTACTTCGGTGTTATCAACTGGACAATTACTTAGACATATAGATACGCTGTAAATGGTCTTCAGTAAAATCTTGCAAGTATAGGACAAAGAATGAACGAGGTGTATACGTCCCCGCTATTTCACATAGTGACGTTTGGGATATTTCTAGGGACATAATTTTGTAACACTGGTAAATGATTGCATTAGCGGTTTAGTAACCATAAATTATTAAAAACATTTATAAAATTCTTTCACAGATACAAAGATTTGCTTTTGGGTTTGATGGGATTTGTAGCAATCGTATTACAAACAAGATATTACATCTTAGTTTGACGGTGATGTTGTTTAAGAGCCAATAAAAATAGATATAGGATGAATGTAAACGTATTGATGAATAAACTATTCTGAAAGGTAATCAATTTAACACTTCAATCTTTGAATATTGATATATATATATACATGTATCAGTAACTGCGAGAAATATAAGATCGGTCCCGTGTATTTGTTATCTATTTTTTAGGTTTTTTTTAATGTACGTACTGACGACCTGACGAGTCAAGCCTTATCCAACTGATTTTGTAGTTTGTTTTGATGGTGTGTTGTTACGCCACTTTACCAGGTTAGGGAAGGATTGATCGCACAAACATGTTCAACACCGCCACATTCTTAATGTCACACAGTGCCTGTCCGAAGTCAGAATCCCGTTATTCGTTCTTTGGTTGCTGTCTGCCTTAATATTTGTTTTACGTTTGTTGTTGTAATGATTAATCAAGCCTTTCTTTTAATTGTTTCACATTTTGTCTTGACGAGGACTTTTATCACATCCCCATCCTTTAGTCACTGGCTGACAGTTGTTTCACTAGCAATCATACCGTATCTCCTTATTTTTATATTCTTTATAATTTGCTGTCAGATTTCAAGCCTTATCATTCGTGTACCACTGTACTACTTAATTACTAAACTTTATCGAATATATTAATATGAATATATTTAGATTGAATAACATTTTGATCTAGTATATCCTTTAATTTTGTTGAGACATTTTCAATACTAGTTTTATAAAGGTTCGAACTGTACACTAGATTGGTTGAAATCGAGAAGAAAGGGAGTCAAGGTCATTGAATTTAACGTTATGTCTGATAAAATACTAAAAAACCAGCATACATGTACAACACGATTCTATTATTGGGTTTCTGTTTTCATTCATATTATGCATATTAATGATTAACCACTTTAAGAATATAATTAAATCATTGATATATTTGCATGCAGATGAATCTACCTTGTATGATAAATGCAGTGGTGTACATATATGAAATTTTAACCTTAAAAAAGAGATCGATATCATTAAAAACTGATGTACTGAAAATAACATGAACTTTGAATCCCTTTTTACTGTCAATTGTTGCTGGACACAATATCACGTAGTAATCTGTGCATAACAAGGATCGTATCAAAGACGAAATTAATTACCGTTATAAACGATCGAACATTTTCGAAGCGTTCCGAGATATATGGTCCCGACATAATCTAATCATATGAACGACTCTTTGTAATAGTGCAAACTGGAATGGGTTCCCTGTTACAGGATACCGAGTTAAGTCCCTTCAGAAACCTATCATCTTTTAAATGGGGTATTGCACCGAGATGATAATTATGTAAAGATGCTTTAATTTGTATAATATTCAAAGGATATTCATTAAACTAACAAGGAAGTAAATAAAATGAGAATATTAGGGCGAAGGTATTACTCTCTTTAATAGCGATGATTATCCTTAAAAATTTCCAAAGGAACACTGAAGGGTGCTTCTAGTATGTGTAAGTATTAAACTTTGGCGATCAAATATAGGGAATAAAAAATCCGCCCTTCATTTGTAACGATATTGCATTGAACTAAAGGTGGAAATAATTTGATCCTCCTTCAAACTTATCGATATAAAGGCGTAAACCCCAGCTGTATACACTCTTGTTTTATATATTGATAATGCCTTTAATTGGAATACACAAATAAATAAGATGTAATATATCATATCATTTGAATAAAGTTGTAACATCGAATACGAACTTTTCTACTGATACATTTTACGCAATATTTTCAATGCCTATATTCTCTGATTATTTTTTAATGTTTTAGAAATCTACAAGAGTAATAGTGCAAGCTGACACAATGACATCTGTTAAGTTTATCGACAGTCTAAATTTGGTAAATGTTACAAAGGAACTTAATATCAGAGGGCTGTTTTGATATGGCTCCTAACTTTTTACAACAAAATAAATTATTTTATATGATAATCAAAACTATTATTTACTTTCAGCTAATGGAAAACTGCTACATGCGTACATCAACTAAACTGAATATCAAATACATCTGTTTAAAAAGTCATTTATGTAGACTGGCTTTCAAATATTGGAACACTTTACCAGATGCAATACAAATGTGAAATACTATTGTAAATTTTAAAGAAAAAATGTTTTGATATTTTCATGGGTAAATAAATAAACGATATTTAATGTATAATATTTATATATCTGTTTATTTAAATATAATGAGTCTTTGTTCTGAAAACCTGATCAGTATAAGTGGTAAGTAATCAGGTTGTTCTCTGTAAATAAAGATTATGTGTTTTTCATATTTGTTTCAAAGTCAAAAAGAGACCCTATTAAGTAATTATATGTTCTGTTCGTTGACAGAGCAAGGTAGTATTAATGTGCAGGAAATATGAAAGTATACGTTTAGTATCTTTCGTCTTTTATGAAACTAAGAGGATGATTGGTAAGATCATAGTTGATCTTGTGTCTGTGAGGGTCTGTTACAACGAATAAGAATATTGACTATATATCGTGGTCAGGCAGCTGTGTAAGATAGAATTGTACTATGACAAAATTCACATAAGTTTTCAAATTCTAAAATTTTAAATGTATAGTGATTCATAGGTAGAAATAAAATGGAGAATGGAAATGCATGTCTAAAAGTTTTTGTAAATTAAATCAGATGAATAAACACTAAATTAATATTCACAACAATAGCAAATTCAAAATATTTCGATTGCACATTCATTGACAAAAAAGAGATTATAAAACACGTCACTTTGGACATATTCATTTACAACCTTCGTCAAATGACCATCACGTGATTCACAAAACATGACAGATGCATTCATGTTTGCAGTTTTCTATGTAAATAGACATAATAAATGACTATATGCGTACGTCAGGTCATAACGTCATGGTCATTGTACTGACCTAAACAATCTATACACATCATTTGTTATAGCCAATCGTTAAATAGATAGTTCCAATAAGGAAACCATCAACCTTATAAAAGATAGCTTTGGTATGTTGTTATCATTCATTATCAAATCTACACACATTGGTCTACACGAGAATGAAGTCTATTCTCTATTCTGTCGTTCTCTTAATTTCAATTTATTCCACTCAAGTTATGTAAAATGTTAAGAGAATAACAAATATACGTCTTATGACATTACTTCTTTCATTTCTTCTGTTTATTTCTTTCACTCTTCATTGCTTTAAGAAGGCTATAGACTAGACTAGTTTGATGGAAAATCAAATTAAAGTTAAAATTATTTCTTAAATTATATTTTTAATCTATTCAGCATAACGAAAATCAACTTACAGAGATTGAGCGTACCAGGGTTTGTTTTCTGTAGCACACATGTTCAACTTGGTAAAATGACAACGTTACACACTTAATATTGTTTTCTTTTTTTTCGGTCAATTAAATCCCGAATATATCAGCGTACTTCCGTATTAAACGAGTCGTCTCCCTTGAAATAATGACAGTAAACTGCAAAAGAGATTAAGCCTAAAAACAATAATTAATGGAATACAATGAATATTATAACCAGGAATAAACGAAGAAAATATTGACATTTTAAATTGACTTTGTGTATGCTTCATCTAAATAAAAAAGGAGTCAAACTAAATTTTTGAACTATTTTTCAGGTCGCAGCTATGGCTACCACAAGAAGACGAAAAAAGTTTCAGTTGTGTTACCTAGCATCAAAACTCCACTCTGTAACGTCGGATGTACAAGACAATTTATATCTCTAGAATGTAGACAGGAAACATTTGGATTTGAGAATGGTGTGAGATGTAAAGGATGCGACATTGATATTTGCAGAGGCAAGGGAGATAATTTCAACAGATGGCAGGATAACGAAAGAAGGGAAAATGGTGGGCGCTGGAGAAACCGTGATCAAGGAATCGATGTTGGATTCATTGATAACATTCAAAATGACTTTTTAAATCAAGAACAAAGGTTAAATCAAGGTGATTGGTCAAGAAATAGATTCGATACTAGAATAAACAGACAATTCAGAAATGAATGGAATTTGTAATCGGAATTTAGTTTTGGAAAATACGTTGTCAGCTATTGTGTTATAATTAGTCATGAAATCCACGTTATATAAGTGATAAATATGTCAATATTATAATAATATTATTTGTTTTATATTTTTGCAAATAAAATAATGTTTTTATCAAATATATATCGAAGATTTTTTTTTATTGACAACCGAATATCAACCCTGCGAAATATTATCGATATTGAGAACTCTCAGACTTTTAAACTTCTCTTGGAGAGAGGAGGCAAAATAAGGCCCTTTTATGGCTCTTTGGATTAAAAAAATAAAACAAATTACATCTCTCAGATGTTCCGATAGTTTTTCGGATATCAATTTTTTGAGTTTTGATAATAACTACGAGCATTCTTTAATGCTGTATCGTTTATTATCACTTGTTTCGATTTCCTTTTATCTATCATTCATGTACGATCATTATAAGTTATGTTTTATTTTTGTTAGTTTTTGATATTGAATATACAAATTAGGAAAGGTGGAATGATTGCCAATCAGACAACTATTCCACAGAGTCTAAATATTCCTATTGGATCTTAAATTATGTTATAGTCCCACTATCAAGATTTAAACAGTAAATGTGTGAGTATATTAAACCACACCAGATTTGTATGTGTCTGTCCAAAGCAGAACCTCGACAGTAGTTGTCATGTCATATATCTGAACGTCTAGCGATTTTGAACTATCTATGGACACTGGCGAAGTAGGTGGGGTGGATCTGTTATAGTCTCTGTAAAATTCTGTCAAAACTTGCTAGACTCTAATGGTTTAAAGCTTGGAATATCGTATAGACACTGGTCTATCGCTGAACACATTGTTCTGAATGTTTGTTTGTGTTGTCGGGTTGCTGGCTCATTGACAAATACTTACATATCTTTTTATTCGGATTACCAATTTCAAATCATTGCTATAAATTGTACTTCGGTGTTATCGACTGGACAATCACTTAGACATATAGATACGCTGTAAATGGTCTTCAGTAAAATCTTGCAAGTATAGGACAAAGAATGAACGAGGTGTATACGTCCCCGCTATTTCACTTAGTGACGTTTGTGATATTTCTAGGGACATAATTTTGTAAAACTGGTAAATAATTGCATTAGCGATTTAGTAACCATAAATTATTTAAAACCTTTACCAAATTCTTTCACAGACACAAATATTTGCTTTTGGGTTTGATGGGATCTGCAGCAATCGTATTACAAACAAAATGTCACATCCTAGTTTCACGGTGATGTTGTGTTAGAGCCAATAAAAATAGATATACGATGAATGTAAACGTAGTGATGAATAAAATATTCTGAAAAGTAATCAATTTAACACTCTTTGAATATTGTCTTCTTCTGAACTTACATTGATTTTGCATTTGTGTTTAGAGATAACCAAATACGTATGGCTATACAGGTGTGAACATTTTTGGACCTTAATTCATATTAAAGTGTTGCATTTTTCTAGGTGCTTTTCTGATCAGACTGTTTATGACGTGTTATCACTAATTTGTATGATATGTAATTAATAGAATTTTAGTCAAGCAAAACTTGGTTTCATTATTAAACATATTATATGAATTTAGCTTAAAACTAGGAATATATATATACCTTTATTTATATATGTATATATATATATCTAGCGCGTCGGGCATAGTGCAAGGCGATTTGGTGCCACGATATCTGAGTAGCACGAGTTCGAATCCCGGCCATGGAAGAACAAAAAATTTGCTTCCGCAAATTTACAGATCTAACATTGTTGGGCTGTTATTTAGACGAATTATATATATATATATATATATATATAAGTCTGAAAATTACACCCAACAGTGTTAGAATTAGACTTTTATGCTGACAAATTTTTGTCCCTCAACGGGATTCGAACTCACACCTTTGATACACTACAGCACCAATCGCTTAGCCTCATGTCCAGCGCTCTAGACCACACGACCACATCCGCTATATTAAAATATAACTTCAATAGTCGTAGTGTTACCTTGTCACGCAAGGCGAATCCAGAGATAGACATAAGACATGTGTTTTAAGCGTGTGAAGATGTTATATTATTATTTAATACACAATGTATTTGTTATTTGTCAGCAATCTAACTCAACAATTTTTATATACCGTATGGGATAATGATTCAATTCATTATACAGTCACTAGAAATAAGTATATCATACAAACAAGTCTAAGCAAGTGACAACCATACAATATATATGCCCACTGGATCTCAGTGTGTTTGAGACGCAGGGTTAATACAAATATTTATATAAGTCTGAAAATTACACCCAACAGTGTTAGAATTAGACTTTTATGCTGACAAATTTTTGTCCCTCAACGGGATTCGAACTCACACCTTTGATACACTACAGCACCAATCGCTTAGCCTCATGTCCAGCGCTCTAGACCACACGACCACATCCGCTATATTAAAATATAACTTCAATAGTCGTAGTGTTACCTTGTCACGCAAGGCGAATCCAGAGATAGACATAAGACATGTGTTTTAAGCGTGTGAAGATGTTATATTATTATTTAATACACAATGTATTTGTTATTTGTCAGCAATCTAACTCAACAATTTTTATATACCGTATGGGATAATGATTCAATTCATTATACAGTCACTAGAAATAAGTATATCATACAAACAAGTCTAAGCAAGTGACAACCATACAATATATATGCCCACTGGATCTCAGTGTGTTTGAGACGCAGGGTTAATACAAATATTTATATAAGTCTGAAAATTACACCCAACAGTGTTAGAATTAGACTTTTATGCTGACAAATTTTTGTCCCTCAACGGGATTCGAACTCACACCTTTGATACACTACAGCACCAATCGCTTAGCCTCATGTCCAGCGCTCTAGACCACATATATATTAGTAACTGCGAGGAATATAAGATCGGTCCCGTTTTGTTTTTTTTTGTTTTTTTGTTTTTGTTTGTTAGACTTTTTTTTTTATTGTACGAACTGACGAACTGACAAATAGAGCCTAGCTTATCCAACTGATTTTACAGTTAGGGACGGATAGATCGCACAAAAATGTCCAACATCGCCACATTCTTTATGTGCCTGTCTGAAATGAGGATCCAGTTAATGTTCTTAGTTAATCAAGAAATCTTAAATTCTGCTTTAGTTAAATCTCCAACAATATGTTAAAGATATATAATGTGTGAAAAAGGTAATGCCATGTAATGCAATGTAATGCATGAAATTACACTATTTTTTGCTGAAGTAATGCATTAAATTACAATAACATGTAATGCAAAAATTGCTGCATTACACATTACATGCAATTACTTGGAAAAATACAATTACAAATTTGCATTTCCCCATGCCTGCAAAAAAGGTTTTAGCTGTGTTACCTAGCAACAAAACAACGCTCTGTAACGTCGGATGTACACGACAATTTATACCTCTAGAATGTAGACAGAAAACATTCGGATTTGAGAATGTTGTGAGATGTAAAGGATGTGACATTGATATTTGCAGAGGCAGGAGAGATAAATTCGACAAACCGCAGGACAATGTGAGAAGGGAACATGGTGGGCGCTGGAGAAACCGTGATCAAGTAATCGATGTTGGATTCATTGATAACTTTTAAAATGACTCTTTGAATCAAGTTGACTGGTTAACAAATAGATTCGATACTAGAATAAACAGACAATTCAGAAAAGAATGGAATTTGTGATCAGATTTTAGTTTAGTTTATTTTGCTGAAAATATCTTGTACGCTTACCTGCTATAACATGTATAATTAGTTCTGAAATCCATGATACACGTTGAGTGAAACAATAATTCAATATTTTTTCCCCTCTTATTTTGCAAATAAAAGTATGCTTTCATTAAATGAATTTCAAAACTTGCCAAAAGATCTCTTCTCTTGACAACCAAATATGAAGCCCTCGATGCATGTTCGAAATTGAACACTTTCAAACTTTTAAACTTCTTTTGATTGATTGGTTGGTGTTTAAGCCACTTTCAACACTATTGTGCTATTTCATGGCGGTCAGTTTTTATTGGTTCAGCAAACCTGAGTATCCATCGAGAACCACCAACATTCGGTAGGAAACTTCTTTTGAAAGGTGTACATATGATAAAACCATCCTTTTGGGACCCTTTTGAAAAGTCGAAAGCATTATATAGAATAGAGCATAAAAACACAGAATGCGTCAAATAGACAGCAATTCAAACAAAGAGCAAAAAACAGCCCAAGGCAACTACTTGGGTCTTCAAAGCAGCCAGAAAATCCCGTGTGGTCTTATTATCTATATAGCATACAGTCATAATACAGTTATAAGTACTTCTCCTGTTTCTGATTGAATGAGGAGATTTGTTATGATTGCCAATGAGAAGCCATACCGCAAAAGTAAAAATTTTCTTTTCAGCTTCTGTACATTATGTTGTAGCTCTCTGCTCGAGATATAACTAGAGGCTCTAAAGATCACGTTTTGCTCAATGATCTATGTGCATATTTAACAAAGGACACTCTCCAACATTGTAGACGAGAATAGAATTCATGACGAAAATCTCTGTTTTGTTGATCTTGTATTACAGATCATTAAGTCATTTGAGTTTCTATCTTCTATAGTTCTTGCTCAAAACACAAAAGAGAGTTTGGAGTTACTAATATATATCCCCATTTTTTGGCAATCACTCCAGTCAACTAATTATATCGGCAAAATTTGAGTTGTTAGTAGATCCTGCCTTGCTGATCATTTTTGTGATTTAATGTGTCTAATTATCTATTATAATTTTTATCATAAAAGGCAATACGCAAAAAAATGGTAAAAATCCTCACTAAAGGGCAATAACTCCAATAAGGAGTCGTCAGAGTCATCGATTTCCTCCAAACTGTCTTAATTGTAGATCTTGTCTTGCTGATCTTTTTGGCTTATCTAAGTTTCTATCTATATATTTAATTATTCAGCATATACAAATCAAAAATCATAAATATAAACCTTAAACTTGAATGTGTCTGAACACACTTAACAGGCACTTTTTTCTTGCATATCCCTGGTATTTTTGAAATAACACCTTTACTAGATTAAGTAAATTAAGTAACTTATAATACAAATACCTTTTGAGTCAACATTTTAATTTAATATACAAGTAAATATATAAAAAAAACAAT